AGCCATCTACGAACTCCCCCGTGCTTTTGACCTCAGCATCGACATGCTCACAACAAGCCTGGGCACACACACACACACCGCCCTTTTTACTCGTCTGTGGGGATGTGACATTACGGTGCTGAGCTCAGGCCCACTGCAAGCCTCTGAGCCGCCAGCATGTCCGCCGGAGTACACTGCCAGTTCGCCTCGCTCTATTGGGGTGCTTCTAAGGTTCCTTCTGATGCTTCGTTCAGCGCTTCAGCACCCTAAACTCGGCGCTTTGCACCCCAGCGTGGACATGGTGGGGCGATGGCCTTTCTTTACAAAGTAGATGGCGGTCTGCATGTCTCCGGCCGTCACAACCCGAGCCTGCTCCAGGTGGCAAGCTGCAAGAATCGGCGACATCTCAACAGCTCTTCTATAGGACCACACGAGTAGGGTCAGGGAAGTCAGGATGTGCTTCGTTCGCCGCCTTGTCTTCGAAGACTTCTGAGAAGGTCGCCTGGGAAGTTCGCAGCCCCGCAGCGGGGCAACAAAACTACGGTAAGAAGAATACGAATGACAGCAAGATTCAAATGATCATCATAAGAAGAACAAGAATGACTGCAATACCATGATCCTCATTTGGTATCCTGCTTGACGGCGAACCTCTGCCACGCAGGTCTTCTGCTTCTTGGTGAGGCCCTCGAAGATGCTCATGGAATCCAAAAACTTGAGGGTTTCGGCCTGGCAGGGTGAGTCGGGGATGCAAGCTCGACGCGACGCATCTTCCCTTGCGGCTTTGCCAGGCTTTGCCTGGTGTTTGGTGGCGTTCTGCTGGAGGCTCTCCTTGAAGGCAATGCCACTGGCCTGAGTCTGAGCACATCCGCTGCCAAGTGTCCAAGTTTTCCATCTGCCACCCCTTTCCCCTCGCCAGCCAAGAAGCGCCCCAGACCTCGCTATCGGCTGTGGCCTTGACGGTCGCAGTCCTCGTGTAGGGATGGCACGATATCACACTTACTGTGCCACGATGCAGTGGTGCCATCCTGGGACAGTTGTACAACAGCGCCAGCCCACCAAAGGCACAGCCTGCGCAGCACAGGACGTCTGACAAGGGATGAGGATGAGAAAAGCAAGCTCAAGGAAGAGCCCCACCTGCACCAATGGTGTTGCAGGTGATGCCCTTCACCTCATGCAGCTTCTGTTGCACAACATGTGGCAGAGAGTGACAACAGATGGCCGAAGACTACTGAACATCTTTCTGCAGGCCCAGACACGCTTACTTCCATCGATCCTGTCTGCGTCACAAAGAACCTCGGGTCTTCGCGCACCCCAGGAATCCCATCCGATGGCTCAGTCTGCCCTTTCCAGTCTGACAAACTGCTGTCCAAGCGGCGTTGTTCCAAGACGACCCTCCTGGATGATGGGCGTGCCCTTGTCGAACTTGAAAAACTGCAGGGCGGCAGGGCTGACGCTGCTACGAGCAGTCTCGAGCTTCACAGGACGAAACACCTTCACAGTGTTCAGAATGGACTCGATCTCTGCGTCATCCAGCCTTACTTGAACCATCAGGAGCAAGGTGCTTTGAGGTTTGCGGGTCTTGAGCTACAGTGCGATCAAAATGTGACTAAAACTCCTCCGGGGCCCGGGCGTGGCACACAGCCGATCCTGCTTCATGGCATTCTTCAGGAAGGTCCGGGTATCGCTGTCCTGTAATTCGGATTTTGGGCGTTGCAGGAGCTGCAGGAGCTCTGAGTCTCTGAGTTCCCTGCAATTTCCTTTGCGACCTCGCAGGGTGAACATGCCGAGATGCCACGACGACACCATGGGGCGCATGACAAGAAGGCCTCGAATTTCTCGAGGTGCTCTTCCACGGGGGGAGGCTTCCTGGATGTGCTCCTGAGATGTGTGCGCTGGCATCAATGAGCGCGGGAAGCAATTGTGTGCCAGCAGCATCTGCAGCTTGTTCTGCGAGCAAGGTGCCCCACTCGTTTTTGAGTTGCCTTTCTGGCATACTCCCTCTTCTTATCCTGCACACCCGGGACTGCATTGTGACTCAAACGAGGCCTACTTCCTCAAAAGCGGCCTGTGGCATTGCCAGGCTGCTCATCTCTGCACAGGATGAGCAGCCAGGAGCCACGTTTACCTTTAGCGGCACAAGTTCTACGTAGCATTCTTCTGTTTCTGCTGTGGCGTTAAAAAACATCATCAACTCGAAAGCTGGCTACAAAGGTTCCTTTATTGGGCTCCAAGTCAAGGTGCTCCGTGGCCGCGCTTTGAAGTCGAAAGGGGCCACTTGCAAAGCTCAGCAGAGAACCCCTATCTTGCAGTTCGAGGATTGGCTTCAACTACGCGTCGCTTTATCTCAGCCTCTTCAACTCATGGCTGAAGCAGTCTGTATTCTGTGCTGTCGGGTTGGTGCCTGTCGGCACTGCGTATGCGCTGCCTGATATACTGTCTCGGAGCTGGTGTAGAATACATGTCTGCGCCTGTGGCCTTAGCTTGTCTAGCTTAAACTGCTTCAGCATGGCACCTGGCAGTAAAACAGCTTCGACATGCAGAAACGGTGTGTTTGTCAAGCATCCGTGGCTTCATTCTCGACAATATCTTCCGCACCGGTTGCCTGTGGGACTTCACTTCAATTGATTGACAGGACTGCGTCCCTGAGGGACCTGGGCTGCAACAAGCGCGGCTTCCTGGCCAGGCAGCGACTCCGGGTGATGAGCACACGTTTGATACTTTAAGTCATTTATTTCGGAGTCATGCAGTCGAGCATTCTTCACATCACTGGCGGCGATGTGGCAAATTGTGGCTTTGTAACCGCAACTCGACTCTTGCCTTCAACACCAGTTCGCCAGCGTCGAAGTCTCTTTCTGCAACCTGCAGCAGAGTCTTCGGTCCAGATAGCAAGCAGCATCTTGCGTTTAGTGAAACTTCATCGACATGCGCCGAAACAAGCGGCACATCCCAGTCATTGCTTTCAGTTGGTCTTCTTTTCATGTGAGACGTACAGGTGAGCTGAAGCATGCTGAAGTCCTAGTAACCCTATCATCTTCAGAACTTCTTGACAGTCGCAGTGACCGCGCAGGCTCTCGAGCTACCCTTCCCGCCTGGGATGTGCAACCAAAGGAACAGGCGCCGCTGGGACGCTTCTTGGCTGTCGACCTTGGCTACGATCCAAGCAGGCCTCATCCGACCACAAGTCAAGAAGCCCCAACACGAGTTCCAAGCCGTTTCTGTTTGATTCCATGGCGGGCCGGCTTACGCAAGACCCGGGGGCCCATGGCAAGTGGTGGGTTTGATGTAAGCAGCCGCAAATGGTGTTATCCGTTCGACTGCTTGTTGGAATCGAACAACCTAACCATCCATCCTTGGCCTACCTGTTGATGCACTGCTGGCCTGAGCCCCCCAAGCAATCCCCGCGGCTATCTCACCGCCAGACGTCTCCATTATCTGTCAATGACGAATGGAAGTCGATGGAGAAATACTGGGATGTAAACGTGGAGAGTTCCATCGTCTGTCCCAAATTGGGATGCTAAGCTGCAGCCGACATGATGAGATTCACACGAACAGGTGCTGAGGCAACGATGTTCGTGACACAACTTCGACCCGCAGAGCAAAAACTCGCAGTTTGAGAGCTTATTGTTTTCTCTCTGGTTGCTAAAGACCACAAGGCTTTGTTGGAAAAGCTTGCGTCTCCGAACTCAAGATTTCTCAGTATGGGCTTCGATGCAAACTTGCTAGTGCAGCAGGTTAACTTTGACGCGTGAGAACTGCGGTACATCCAATCCATGTTGGAGAAAGAGCTCCGCAGTGGAAGGGACTATATCTATTGAATCATCCAGCAAATCTCGCAAAGCCTCCACCCTGCAATGCTTCTGTCATTGCGCGCGCATTCGCGCTCTCCCAAAGAAAGAACGCCACGAAGGCACCCAGATAAGAATTCTTCGCCAGCCAGCAGGCCACTTTGGCGGCCACTACCGAGCTGCACAATGGCTATGGCATGCTCATGCCATCTCGTCAACCTCTGGGACCTACTTCCAATCATCAGGTTGCTCGCAATTTTCACCTCCAGTCACAGCAATTCCCTTCAACACACTCCTGCTGTCCGCCAGCACAGGTTTCTGCCTCTGCAAAGGAATCGTTCCAAACGTTCGCAACACCTCTGCAAGGCCGGGCTAGGCTGCACAATTTGAAAGCCAGATGCGTGCTTCTGTGTCCGACGCACGAAGCGAGCAAACGTGGCTTCACAATGAGTGCAGCGCAGGTGGCGCAGGGCGGTAATAGCGAAATTTAGCGGATGGTCAAGTTCTATTCTAGAAAACGAGTTATTGGTAGGACCCTGGCAACAAACCTCTTCCTCCTACCAGCTGGATACAATGAAACGAATGCCTTCCCCGCAAACTACTGAAACGCAACAGCATACAAACAGGTACTGAGTCTGAGGCACCGTGCCGGCTTGTCTATTTCATCGGTCCTCGTATGCTCAGCATCGATGGCGTGCTGACCTTGCCAGAACTGAAAAGTCGGACGAGCTTTTGCTGCGAAGCTGTGAATTGAGGCAGCCTCTCCACAACTTGATCGGCACGTCACCTGCAGCAGAGACGAGTACTTTCCGACTTTCCCATCGCGACGGACGGTGCAGAACTTTCCAGGCCCGGGTTCCAGGCCTCGGAGTCCTCGGAGTCTCGAACCAGCTTCGTCCGGAGAAGTCCTGAGGAAATCATGCAGCTTGCGCCCCGGCCGGATACGTCCTCTTCTCAGCCGCTGGAGAGCACAAGGACTCCGGACTGGACCCCTCGCTTTGTGTCTTGAAAGGCTTGGAAGCACAAAACTCCCTAACTACATGTCTCCTTGTGCGGAGGACCTTCGACGGCGTGCACAGACAGCTCCAACACGGATGCTGCGCACTCCGAAATAGTACATTCGCTACTCTGGGCAACGGGTGTGCGCGTAAACTGGCAGACTCCGAAGTTGTCGGAAGTGAATGCAGATGAGAGCTGTACGATTGCCCACTACTGCGGAGGTGCTGTGTCAACTGATTAGAGCCCAGCAGCAACACTCCAGGAAACAGCGTGATAAGTTGGGAGCAAGACGGCAACGAAGCCAAGGGTCAAGAAAAGCCCAAACTGTCCGATGATCCGCTCCTTCTGAAAAGGCCAGCGCCAGCTCAGCTTGTCACCAGAGAGATGACACAGAGCCAAGGCCAGGAGCACTGGGCCAAAGGCCACGATGAAGCCTGTGAGCTGAGAAACAGCCTGGTGGCTTGGGTGGGCCGTTGCCCAAGCAATCAAAGGCACCATGGCAGCCCAGAAAAGTGTGTAAGTGCCATGGTACACGTCCTTCGGCAAGCCCAGGTAAGACTCCGCAGCCCAAGTCTTGGTGTTGATGTTGTTGTTCTCATCTCTGTACTGTCCCTTGTACTCCTTGGACTCTCCCAACTTCTCCCGGAAGGTGCCACACCATTGGTCGATAAAGCCACTCATCGGAGAGCCGTAGTTGCACTCGAACTTGGCGTGATGGCAGTAGTGGTACTGATCCGATTGGAAATGATCCTCCCAGCCGCTGTGTCCGGCAGCTGGGGCAATCGCCAAGTGGAAGAAACACCAATAGAAAACAAACGGAGACAGCCCCGACAGATACAGGGCAGGGAAGAAGGCATTGGAGAAGTAGTACAAGTGCTCTATCGGGTGCATGGTGAGCCCTGAGAACGGCTCGGGATCTGCATTTCGGTGGTGCAAGCTGTGTACATACTTGTAGATCGCACGGATGTGGATGAAGCGATGCGCAATGTAGAAATGCAAATCCCGCCACAGCGGCATAATCATCACCCAGAAAACATTCAAGGACAGCAGGGCAGGGCTAGAGAAGAGTTCCCCAGCCGTGACATAAGGCACCTTGCCGACGGCCCACAAACGAAGCATCAGGGCCTCCAAAAGTGTCCACTGCAGCACACCCAGCGACCTGGACACGTGATTACGCGTGGAACTCGGAAGGCAACAAAGGAAGGGGGCGGAAGGATGTCATGTACGAGAGAAAGGGGCATGAACTATTGTGCAGAGTGCCCATCACAGAGGAAACGTTCATGTCTCAAAACACGATCTGCTTACGTGAGTACCACGCGACGATTGGGTATCCAACAAGCATACTGTTTCAACGGGAAAGAATGCGGCAAAGGATCCAATAGTATAGGTTGTGCGCCATATTGCCCGCAGTGGGAAACTTCTCTGGGGAAAACTTCCTGCTGGACCAGTTGCTGATGTAAAGGCCGAAGTAGAAGAAGCCGTAGTAGGCAAAAGCAACCGCCAAGTTCAAGAAAAGCCTTGGCAGAATCCAACTCCAGGACCAAGTTCTGGCCGCTGGAATGTCGTAAGGGGCCACGGCATAGATCACGAAAGCCAGGATGAGCCAGACCAAGTTGGGAGAGTAGAAGAAGTACTTCAAGGTCACAATCTGCCTAATCGTGTTCTCCAAGCCCAACTGCTGAACCTGACTTGTGCAACCTGCCGCCTTCGATGTGTCCACCCAAGATTCCACACCCCCAAAGATCTTGCCGCCTGCAGGACGGTCTCATGACGATGAGACAGTTAGGATGAAAAAAAGCATGACTCGGATGAGGAAAGCATGCAGCACGACTCAAACTCCCAGAAGCAATGGAGCAAGAGCTACTAGCCTGCCATTGGTGTGCCACTGACTATGGCAGCCATCAGTGCTTACCAGCAGCACTCAAATTAATCATCTAGGCAAGCACAACTGAAGTAGAGTTCTCAAGTCGGTAGTGCGCGCGTGCCGCGTGTGCATGTGCCCGTTCGGCGGCAAGTGCATTGGGCAGGAATCGGCGATTATCTTGGATTCGGACAAGAACACTGAGTTGTTGAGGCTAAAAGTCATTTTGTTTTCCAAGCCTTGCGCGTATCGAGTCTTCCTAAGCTGAACGGTCAGTAAGCATGAGACGAAAGAAAAAATCCACCTGGTAGTCCGCCCAGACGGGTCCAATCGAGCATAGCCACACGCGCGGATGGAGCAAGGGATCGACTTTGACTAACTTCAAACGCATCTCTTGAGGAAGGACACGGCAGCCGAGCAAAGAGATGGCTCTGCTCTAACACCACAAGGTCAGCGAACATCCGTGTGTTGAACTTCTGTGGATGGCCTCTTCCTGTCGCCAACTTCACTTGCTCTTCGCCTTCAGGTCTTCAGATGTCCTCAGCGAAGGTCAGCAAGAAAACTTCCTGTTGGGGGGGCCGATTTGGCAGCAAAATTGTCTGCGCTCCGAACCGTGGCAAGCAAGGTGCAAAGGGATTTTGCTCAACAGCCCCAACTGTCTACACCGCAACGAGCAGAAGACTTGCACGGGGACCAAATTCCGACGGATCACCTAGGGTTGGGACACGTTGGGGGCCTACGATGCATGATGCAACGCTGGACGGCCTGGTTGTGAACGCCCTGCACCATCCTCAGCATGGTTTCGTCTGCAGCCGGTCTCCCTGCCTGCAAGGTGGCCCAGTCACCCCTAACATAGAATTGTTCGGGCTCTGGCCTCGGGACTGCTACTTGGTCGCCTCGATTGGAATTCTGCATTGACCAAAAGTCGCAACAGCAAAACATGGAATGGCGAAGTCTGTCCCTCCTGGGCGAGCTCCCAACCCGTTCCGCCGTCTTGAGCCATAGATCTGCATGGGTCGTTGCCACCGGTCTCCCTTCTTTCGGCAAGCGGACGCGGCAGGTAAAAATGCATATGTGCATGCACGCGGGATCACACGGGCGTAATTAGGATGTCGTTTGACCTCTGCATCTGTCTGGGCCTGGGTCCCGGCCGAAGTGGACCTGGAACCACCTCAAAATCTCTCTCTCTCTCTGCCATATCTTGTGTACCTCAGTCTTGAAGCGCTACGTTCTGCAGAGACCTAGTGACCTAGTGTCTGCCGTTGGCCTCACAGCTACCTAGATAAACGATAGAAAGTGAGAGTGCGGCACGATCACTGAAGGTAAGGACTTAGGCTTCGCTTGCTGCAACGGCTTCTTTCAGCAGTGTTTGAATTGCCTCTTCAGCTACGAGTATCCAGGAAAGCCTGAAAGCTGCATGACGAACCAGTCGACCCCACCTACTCCGACTTTTTTGTGGCTTGTTGCTCGAGGTGCATGCAGCTGTTGCACGAGACCGATATCTCCAACGACCTGGTGCCGCTTTCCACGAGACATGGACTTCCATCGCAGGCTCTTCTCTGTGATTCGGGCAGCTGACATTCGGATGCGCGGGCCGAGCCCGAGACACCACAGCGTAGGCAGAGAGCGGGACAGGTCTGATTACAAGACCCTGGCATGTCTCCATGTCCTCGGCTCACCTCGCACACCTGCGCCGGAACAGCTCGCCGTCCACAGCGGTAGCAGCGCGCGCTCGCGGTTAGCTCGAACTTGGGGAGTTCACCTTCCAGACGTCAGGTCTCGCTCGCGACGAAGGCCGGCTGTATGTTCGATCCGTCCGATGGTGAGTCCGGGCAGGTCAGCTCAATGGCCTCCCATGCAGGGAGTCCGGGAGTCCAAACACATGGGGCATTCTCTGAAAATGCACCCTTGACTATGTTGCATCATCTCTACATCACTTGACCTTTTCACTACAACGCCAAGGCGGACGGTTGTCATCATTGTCATCGTCTTAATCTTCGATCCCGGCCTCTTCGTTTGTATTGCCCGGTCTCCAGATGATCCATCGCACGCACCGAATAAATGCACCGCAGTGCACGGGTCCAAAAGGCACCAAAGTAAAGACAAGGACGGCCACGGTTGCCAACACTAGCAGCACTTGCCCCTTCATACCCGTTCCAAATGCATGCCACATCTGAAAGACTGCCGCGCCGATTATCGAGCACACCAAGTAGTCGCGAGACACCGTGGAGACGCTGCTTGCATGATCCGTGGGCATGCGCACTCCGAAATCCGTCACGGCTTTGTTGAAGAGAAGCCTTGGCCCACAAGTGCCACACAAAATGCAAAAGAGAGCTTAAAACGGACAGTGCCAACAAGTCGAGAAGAGGGTGCAGTGCAGAAGGGGCGCGCGTTGACCGCGGCTGCAGTGGCAACGCAAAAGCTGACCAAAGGATTTAGTGGGCCCCAAAATATGGTTGTCTCCATATATGTGGTCAGCAGGGCATGCTGCTGCACCGGCGAAAGGCAACCGCTGGTCGTTGGTCCGACCTTAAACAGCCTCAACTGGCGGCTTCCATCCGAACGCTCGCCGGAGTCCAACTTGGACAGCTGCCATGCGATGAGCAGCAGGACCGGCTGAAGGCACGTTCTGAGAAGAAGCTTTTTCATAAGCAGAGGGGCAAGACCTTCAATCATGGCCCTGCTGCAACGACCATTTTTCCACCAGGAAGGCTCCAGTTGACACATGTCAGCATCGGTGTTCATCATTTCTTCGTCCCAGATACGTAACGTGAACAGCTCGTGGCGGGGGCTCCGTGCATCACAAACACTCCAGAAAAATTTCCAACCAGCCAAGCAGTTCTCGTGCAGAATTAGAGTCGTTAGCAGAGACAGGAGCCAGGCGGAGCAAAGTCTCAATATCATAAGCAAGCGATCGGTTCGGATACCCGTGAGCGCCGAGAAGCATCTTGACAAAGCACCTTGACTGACAGTCGGGTTCCAACCATATCAGATGCACAACTCACAAGTTGCAATTGCCGGCCAAGCACTTGCCAAAAGCATGTCAACAGCCACGATCAGGGCCGGAGCTGCTCTGTGCACAATCTGCAGCGTCTGGTGGCTCAGCCCTGAAGAATTCCCGGCAGGGAGAGCCTCTGAAAAGCGAACTCGCGGTGACATGTCGGAGCTACAGAGTGCTTGAATGTGAATACAGCTTTCTGAGGCCTGAGAGACAGCAAAGAGGATGGAGGGCACAGACAGGCCAATCACCACCACCTCCAGAACGGCACAGCCTATGAGCAGAATTCAGAAGTCAGGCGAAGCAGAACCCCGGCCAGCCACAGCATCCAGAACATGATGAGCTTGCAGCCACGGGGTCCAGATTCCAGAGGTTTCAAACCTGACAGGGCTCCACACTTCATTCCTCTTCCTGCTGTCCTCCAGTTGGTCGGGGAGGCTGCGAGGCCTGCCGCGCGCTTGGAGGGCAGGGCAGCCACGGCGGCTGCAAAGAAGAGGGTCAGCAAACTCCAAAAGATGCAGACAAGCAGAGTCTCCCAGGGCCTTGGAGACAGTCAGACAGCACGCCAAATACAAACCCACACCACGCTGAGCGTATTCCAGCCAAGCCAAGCGTGATGTAAAGCATTATTACAAACTGGACATGAGAAGCAAGAAGATCTCGCGAATGAGTGCTTCGAGAGCTGCGAATCCCCCAGAGGCTCAAAAGAAGGGGTGACTAGAAGTCTGGACAGAACATGTGCAAGCGTACTGTTGCATCGAAAAGATCTCCGGCCAAGGCACCCTTTCAGGTAGGCGGCAGTGGTACGAGACAACGGCTGCCCACAGCTGTAGTAAGTCGCACCCCAAACATAGAGGGGAAACATCGCGAAGCATAGGATGGCCGACAAGGTCGTGAAGCGAAGGACGCCGAAGCAGGACTGGTACAGGGCATGCCAAAGCTCTGGGGAATCGAAAATACGCCAACCCAATGATACCCCAAACATGCCGTGAATCTCGGGCGACGGGGGAAGGGAGCGAGCCTAATCTGAAGGTTTCTGCATCTCTCTCGGAATCTCCGTGCCTCGGACACGGCGGAGACCTGTGAGCTTTCATGAGCATAGTGGGCTGCTTGGAAGAGCGCCTTCCAGATACGACCTCGAGCGAAGACCAGGCCCAATAGAACGAAGGCCATACCGAAGCCGATGAAGAGATCACTCCTGTGGGCCCGGTCAGAAAAGTAGAGGAACTCTTGCCGCTCTTCAATGTGGACCCATGATGGTAAATCATGGCCATCTCCGACCATGTTCCCCATGACGACCAGTGCGAAAACACTTGCGGCCGCATTCGTCACCTTCTCTGGAAGACCGCAAGAGAGCGCGTTTCGGTGAAGCGTCAGCATGGGGTTCTGCAGTTGAAAGCTCGGATTCTCACACTCCTGGCAGGACCTGGGGCAGCTCGTAATCAGCTCTCGAAGCTCTTCACGGGCCAAGCCGCTAGATTCGCTAGATCCGCTAGATGCCAAAGCCTTGCAACCAGCCACGGACTCGTCACCCCAGTCGCGGCAGTCCATGCCCCGAAGCTCGAAGTGAGGATTGTCTAAACATGGTTCCTTGAGACTTATCCCATCTGCGATGGATCCCGTGAGGCTGTTCCCATGTAAAGTCAAGATAGCGAGGTTCGGCAACTCGGAGAAGAAACGTTTCGGCAACGGCCCCGAGATGGCATTGTTATGCAACGTGAGGACAACCAGGCTCCGTGCCAAGATGATTTGGGGAAGTACACCCACGAAGCCATTGCTGTGAAGCGACAACTGCTGAAGCCTGGGCATCTTCCACAAACAGTCCGGAAGTCGACCCTGCAGCAAGTTGCGGCCGCAGGAAAACTGTCGCAGGCTCGAGGGCCGGCAGATGTCTTCTGAAAGCTCTCCGGAGATTTGGTTTCCATCCACCTTGAGCTCCACAAGCTGTGTGAGACCAGCCACTTCCGGAAACTCCCCCGAAAAGCGATTCTCCCCCAGGTCCAGCCTTCGCAGCAGAGGTGCCAGGACCGGAATGGGACCTGAGAGGCGGTTTCCCCGGAGGGAGAGCCTCCGGATCTTTGGGAGCCCAGGGCTCAGCTTCAAAGATCCCGTAAAGCGATTCCTGGAGAGATCCAGCTTCGCAAGGGCCTGCCGGCAACAGGTAGCTTTGAGAGCTTCAAAGCGTAGATGTTGCTTCACCCCTGACTTCTTGTCTGAACCTGCAATCTACCCTTTCCTTCTCGAGTGACGGCTACGATGCTAAAGCCATCATGGGAAGGGCTAGAACAAGTCGTGAGACGTATGACTAGTTTGCGTTGGTGCTGCTCAACCTTAGTCGTCTTGCTCTGGACGCTGCGCATGTCCTTCGCATGGCGGCTTTCCCGCGTTGTGTAGCTTTGCCGTCTGAGCATGCTTGTGTCGAAGCCCAGTGGCTTAGTTGCCCTTGTCGGTCAGTAAGAATGAAGCGACTTAGTCAGCCTTGTCTTATCGCCCGCCCCAAGTCCTTTGCTACCAGGATTTTTCGCACGCCCATATCCCGGAGAGCTTCTTACAAGGAGCTGGAGGGAGAGGGAGGCTGAAGCTGCTTGAATCTTACTGCTCCGACTGTCTCTAGGCCGGCCTGAAAGTCTAAAGGCATCAAAGTACCCTCGAGGAGGTTGTTCCGAAGATTGAGCTGCTCAAGGTTCTGCAGTCTTCCGATCTCTGGGATGTTTCCAGTGAAGCTGTTCTCGGAGAGGTCCAGCTGCCTCAAGTCTAAGAGATGGCCGAGCTCCTTGGGTAGAGCCCCTTCGAAGTGGTTCCGGGAAAGGCGCAAGATCTGCAAAGAGCGAAGCTGCCCTAGCTCCGGTGGCAGGGGCTTCACCAGCTGATTGTCGAAGAGCTCAAGACGCCGGAGCTTCACAAGGCTGCCAATCTCCACCGGCAGCTGCCCGGTAAGCTTGTTGCTCTGCAGCAACAGGGCCCTAAGGGATTTCAACATCCCAAGGCTTCCCGGGAGAATGCCCTCCAATTGATTGAAGGCAAGACGGAGATCCTGCAGCTCCAAGAGTTTTCCAAGCTCGGCGGGCAGGGGTCCCGAGAGCCTGTTGTCGGAGAGGTGCAGGCGCTCCAAGGCGGATAAGTCCCCCAATGTCTCTGGCAAATGGCCAGAGAGGTTGTTGCCCGTTGCAAGGAATTGTTTTAGCTTCCTGAGCTTCCCCAGCTCTCGTGGAAGCGGCCCCGAAAGCTGATTGCCCGTGAGCTGAAGCAGCTCCAGGTTTGAACAAAGGCCGAGTTCCTTTGGGATCGGCCCTGTGAGGCGGTTGAAGCCGAGCCTCAGTTGGCGAAGCTGACCGAAGTCGCTGAGGTCCGCTGGCAGGTGCCCCTTCAGGCCTTTACGCCGAAGGTTCAGGGCCACCACCCGGCCTTCCGAGTCGCACTTCACTGCAGATTGGCGACAGGTGTCGCATGCTAGTTTGAATGCTTCGTCAGGTGCGACGCCCAAGGACTGCAGCACCGACAGAAGCTTTACGTCGCAAGTTTCGGGCCGTGTCGTCGTTGTCGTGGAACTCGTGCTGCTGCGTGTTGTGGTTGTCTGACTGGTGTAAGTTCGGGATGTTGTAGTTAGTGTCGAACTTGTGCTGCTCGTTGTTGCAAGCGGTATGGTTGAGCTTACTATAGTTGTGCTGGTGGTGCTCTCGGTCGTGGTCGCAGTCCAGGCCGTGGTCATGGTGGCAGTGGCCGGGATCGAGGTCGTGGTCGTGGTGGCAGTGGTGGTGGTTTCTCCGTTTAGCACTGCAGCCAGGCTCAACCAGCACAGTGTCCGCAACACCATCGCCCAACACAGAACGCTCAACACCTTGCTCAACCGTACTTTCTCAGTATATTGCGGGGTTCACTTCAGTAAGACTAGAGTCGGTCGTTCGGGTTCGATGCCTCGGCGCCTAAGTTGCTTCTCGAGCCTGGTAGGCACATTTCGTCTGGCGATCTCAAAAAGGCCCTTCGCACAATCAACATCTCGCGCTTTTCTTGCGCAACATCGAGCAGCAAGCGTTCTGCAGCCGCCGAAGCAGCCGCCATGGTCAGTGAGGCGCCGGGGGTGGACAAGACTCTCCGAGCTCCTCGATCGGCGCACATGGACTGTGGATGAGCGGACAAACCCTTACACTCACAATCATTCTACCGCAACGAACCCGAATGCCACAGAAACTTCTTTCCGGTCCTGGACCAGGGAGGCGATGACGACCGCGGCCTGCGAGGCTGTTTGGAACTCCACGGTTTCTTATACTGCAGAATACTACAAGTACTGTAGCTTCCTGGCGACTTACAGTAGCTGCGTGCCTGTGTTCGGCAACCTACAGTAGCTTCCACCCTGGCTTTGGCAGTGCCATTCGGCGCTGTCCTATGCTGACTCGCAGAATTCCGTTGCTTGAACTTGTGGATCGGGATTCTGGAAACTGGGAAGAGCGAGGCTGCAGGCATGGGGGTTGCTGTCGCATGCATGGGCTCTTTCAAAAGCATGCGTGCGACTTCATGAGCAAATGCAGCGGGTGGTTGTCGCTGGCACCTCGGGTCGGTGCTTCATTCCGCCTCTCCCCATTTTGCAACTCTCCGGTTCTGTGGCTCCGTTGGCTCCCCTCATGGAAGACATGGACGGCCGTGGTCAAGATCCCACATTGAACGAGAAATTAGGCTCGGCGCATGGTCGGACTTGAGGAGGAAAAGGCTGAGCTGAGCTGACAGCAGCATATGACTACAGTGGATGCTTTGGGCTGAACACTGCAACAGTCATCTTTCCCGAGACGCTTCGGTTCTCGTAGACTCACTACCCACATCAGTCAAAGTTGGACAACTTGTTTGTAGCCACAACAGCCACGGGCTTGGCTCCATCCATTCTTCACTCTCATCGGCACTGGGCACCCTGGCGATCGGCTTCGTCGAGCTCGTTGATGTGGTTGAAGAGGTCCTTGCCGGACTCGGTGAAGCGCCACAGGATGGGGCAAAGGCTGAAGCGCCACAGAAAAAGAGTCGAGTCATACGGCCAGACAGCCAAAATGTCCTCGTCGACCTCCACTCTCCAACCCTGCAAGTGGCTAGCACCGCTCTCAAGATCCTGCTCGAAATTGAATACGAGGCGGGCCAAAGCCATGAGCACACCTGAGCATGCAGAAGGCTCTCCATCGCTGCATTTCGAAGTAAGTGACAATAAGGTCTGTCCGCTTCGTTACCAGCGTCTGCAATGCCTGATCCACTGCGCGAGAATTCCGCCATAGACCGCGTTTCCCTGCGCAGTTCTTGAGGCCATCCTTTGGCATGCACCGAGGCGGTCCAAGTCATTCAAAGATTCCGATGTCAGCATCATCAGGACCTCTCTTCCTAACTGCTCTATGGCATCTGCATCGGGCATGGCTTCGAAACACGTGCCAACTTTCTGGAACAATACACACCGCAGCTTGCTGGACTGCACAGGCTCCGCTGTTGCAGCATGGTAATGCAGCCAGGCGAGTACACTTCGGACAGCGCTTGGCTTTGCTCGCCACCACCCAGCGATGGCACCCTTGAGGAAGAGGCAATCGAAGCCTGCGGTGAAGTATGTCCACACAACTACAAATCGAAACTCCCTCGCAGGCCTTGCAAGCCAGCTTCACAAAAGCCGCTTGAAGGCTCGCCACGCTTGGAGTCAAGATGGCGCTGCCGGAATGCCAGGAAAGTGTCGGGCCTGCAGGGCTTGATTTGTAATGAGCTACAGGGTCCCCACCAGCCCAGCCTTTCTGGGTGAATCAATGAAACCATGTGGTCGACAAGGTCCTGGCAGACGCTGGCGGCTGGCGTGCAACCGAAGACAAATGACCAGTCGCCACTTGACACAAAGTTGCTAAGGCCCGGCTTCAGTTTTGGAGTACTCGTGACAACATGCGCGGAGGGAGGCGTAGTCATGCACCTGTGCTGAGCGTCCATTGCCAGAAATGGGGAAACTACAGCTAGTCAGCTAGTCGTGAATAGACTCAGCGCGTGGCAACCTGCATCCTTTCGATGCTGCCAAGTTGCACCAAGGTTCGACTGGACCACTGCCACAAGGTGCCTCAATGCGATACCGCCGCAGGCTGCAAACAAAGGCTCAAGGTCCTGCGAACATTGCCCTCGCCGGGTATACACATGCAGATTGTGGAGTGCCTCAAACAAATTTAACAGTCCAAGTCGAAAGAGACCTGAGGGAACAGTAGCCCGGTTTGAGCACGAAGGAGGGAGGGAGGACCAGCTCCGCGCGAGGAGCCGCGGAAGACTTCGCGAAGTAAAGGCAGAGGAGTATGGGGCCAGTACTCAGGCAAATCCAGCCCCCAAAACGATGAGCGATCAGCGAGCGGACAGGCGAGACCCCTTTGCCTTTCCGGGCGGATTGGGACCCTGAAACTATCAATCCCACGACTTGGAGCACCCAGCTGTCCACGAGCCCTCGAGCGTGCAACATCCAGAATCGCCTTTGCAAACCCAACGCTTTATCAACGAGCTGCTGAGGAAGGGCAAACTCCATGCAGCTGCCCGCTCGATTGGACCCATCGCGGGGTGTCACAGGAACCTGAACATGTGGCTCGAAGACTCTTGTTAAAGCAGTGCTTCGCTCCGGCCTCCGCGGAAACATCAGCAGAGGCCTGGGCGCACGTGTTCCAACCCCCCATCGGCCTTGGTTCCTAGCTTTCCACACCCCCCATGGCACCTCGTGGCAAAGACTGCACCCATCGATGAAGAAATTCAGCACTGATTCCGCGCGCTGGCAAAGCGTGTGACCTGACTGCCGGATAGACTCTGTGACCCACATACAATATGACATATATCACATACGCAACTCCACAGAACTCCACAAATAACCAACCTGGGCCCCAGCTGGAGTCAAGGAAGATTTGCCACGTCCCATTTTCGGTACAGGGCTTTGCACCCTCGGCCTGCGACGATCATGTCGCTCTCTACCAGTTATCAGATGTAACGCAAAAACCGAAAATCAAACGCCGGACAAACACGCAACCACACAGACAACCGTACACGGGTGTGGCGGGCAAGCGTGACGGAGGGATGCCATTTCATCATAGCGCACGAATACAAGATATTGCTGTGGCGGATTCTTGCACTCATGGACTGCCGAAAAGTCGGCACGGCTGATCTTGAAATAAGTTAGACCATGATTCTCACGCTTGCAACTCTCTTGGCCCCTCTCTGCCTTCAAGAGAACTGGGTGATGGAATTGTTGCGCGCGCGCGTGTGTGTGTGTGTGTGTGTGGAAATCCTGTTTCTAAGGACTTTTAGTCACAATGAGCGAAGTTTCTGATATCGGATGGTATGATTCACTGTGTGAAGTTGACAAGTCTAGCAGGGGATGGCAGCAGGGTCCAGAGTCTGCCATCAACGAAGACACTCTGGATACCCTGGTGATGCACGGTCTGATCAACCGTGTGTACCTGCTATGAGTTTCACTGTAAAGCTCTGGTCATTTGTCTGATTCAATAAGCCTGGAGGCCACGATGATCTTCAGATGATTGTGCATCTATCTAGTTCTGATGATCGTGTAGGTATCCAATTCTGATGACTGTGTATCTATCTAATCCAGATCGTCGTTGCAGCGCAGAGGTTCATTAGAAGCTCCCTGTAAGTGTAAAATAAAACTTCTGAGTAGTAATAGTTGAGAAGATTTGTAACAGAAGAGAACAAAAGAGTCGG